CAATGACATTGACAGAGAAACTGAAACAGAAAAGGGCAGCATGGGATACAGTGTTAGGCTGTTGTTTATTGGAGCTGATGTTGAGTTGGCTTATGGATGATGTCTGTGAAGATGGCGCGCAAGGCTTTTTGTTCTCGCTGGTTCAAAGTCCATGGTCTAGTATTCTGCGACAGCGCCTAACAGCCGAATTGCTTAGATCTAGTATGGAGTAGCAGGCTTCTTCGATCTCGAGTTCTGCAGGATGGGCGATATAGAACAGCTTGGTCCACATCTCGAGGCAGATTTCGGTCACGGCTGACTTCAAAGAGACGCAAGCTGACACGCTGACGGACTGTAACACACCATAGTTAGCGCACTAGGTATTCAACGCACTTACACAAGAAGGCCGACATGGTATCCGGCTTTCGGTCTATCATGGGGGAAAACATGAATAGAGTAAGAGTGATCGAGAGCTTGAGGTATGCGAAAACAACCCTTACCCACTATTCTGGAACCTAGTATGTACTGGCAAGAAGAAGGCTGGGGACTACATACTTGCCCATATACCCGGAAGGAGTGAATACCTACGTACATGTACCGCTCGAAACTACATATTGTTTCGTAGTCACCTGGCGGTTCTATCATGTCTTTAAATGTCACAGGCATAAGGTGGGCATTGTGAATCGTCAGAGTGCGACACATGATCCCTCTCCAGCTTTTCATTCACTTTCGCAGACGTGCTGCATCATTTTGGCGATGTCAAAGGGAAGTCTAAGCAGCAGGATGGTCAGGAAATGCTTCTTTACATTTCATTTTTCTTTCGTGGGCAGTAAGAGCATGGGCCCCAAGAGCAGCACTTGCAGCTGCGCCAAGAAACAGTTGAGCCGCAAGTACGTACCTAGTGCGCGGACCATGTAACGCAAGGACAGAAAAGTACCTAGGTACCGAATGGTTCGCATGTAGGCAACCAAATATTCCCCGTCGAACAATGTTACGGTACCGAATGCTGAACCTCGCTGTCGAAAGTTCCCTACGCAACTTCATACCTTTGAAATAAAGATTGAACGCCATTTCTTTTTGAATATGTTTACAGGAAGGCCACTCTGAATTTAGGCTTCAAACTTGGATTTACCGTACCAAGTCGTCCGTTTGTTATGTTCGCCAGTACCGCGCGACGCTGATAGACTGTTACTACACCATTGCTGTCTGCCGTCCTGTCGCTCAAACTCCTGGCAGTTCGCGTCATCAGCTTTTAGCTTCATGAGGCCTTGCAGAAACACTTATCTCGATTCATTGTCACCCCGCTATTCTCGACGACAACACCCCCGGCAAGCTACTTGCGGTCGACTTTCCGACAAAAATCACTCGCAACCATCTTTGTCAGCTTTTGAGCCTCCGTAGGACAACGTGGCTCCTCACAGCATCTTGTATTGATTTCGGTATCATCGCACTGCCGAACCCCTGTTACGCACGGGCACAAAGTCTCGAGGGATTCTCTGGCGCATCAATCGCAAGTCACTCGCCTCTGCGGCTGTTGGTCAGCTTGAGTCACGTTCACACTTGCACAAGCACACGCCTACAAGGAAGCAGACCTCCAGTCATGGCCTCACAAAAACCCCAGGTCGACATTGGACAAGGCTTTGTCAACTATCTAAGAAAACAGGCACGATCTAGGCAGAAACCGGCAGTTTGTAGCCTTTGCAATTTAGACCTCCCAGCCGTCACCGACTATGTGCAATTTGAGGCTCACATCAAATCGGTTCACGCCCAACTTTATAACAGCAAAACATCAGACAAAGAAAAAGAGGATTGGTTGAATGCGCAGTGGAAGGCATCTCAGCCTACAAATATAAGTGAAAGGTTGGTCATTTCCCTACCATATCCTGCTGATCCTCCCTCCCCGATACAGAGATTTGTACTCACAGTAGCCATGCACCACATCAGAAACCCAGGTATAGACGTTAGTTCTAGATCCGGAAAGGCAGCTTCCCCTGGAGACCCCAACCGGCCGTCAAACTGGGCAAGAAATGCTGGCCAAGAATCGGCCAATGTGGCGCAAGCGCAACCAGACCGTGCTTTCCGAACAAAGAGTCCTTCTCCCAGCAACAAAAGGGAGAGCTCTCGTAGCCAGTCCCCCCCCAAGCGCTCCAAAACTTCTGGCCGTCAGGGAGCTAGTGCGTTGACGGATGATGCGCGTGCCGAGTTTGACCGGGGACCAACTCAAAAAGGAATGCTGTGGGATCCCCAAAATGATACAACTCGGACTCGCACTCAGCCATACGACAAGTCAAACGTTGCCACAAGCCACAAACTACCTTTAGCTGCTTCGCAGGCCAAGTCCCGCCGCCAGAGTCAACAGTCCCAAAACGCACCCAGTCGAGCCCCTGTTCAGTCTGAAGATATGTCGATTGGGTTCCTCAAACAGCCCGAGACACGTGCTATTTCCCAGGAACAGCTTGTCACGGAGGTCAAGGGCATCTATGCCGGCCTTGTTATGGTCGAGAGCAAATGCATCGAGGTCGACAACGCCCAGAATGCCGAGACAGATCCCGCCAGCAAGCCCATCAACCATGAGCAATGGCAGGCATTGATCGCTCTGCACCGCACTTTGCTTCATGAGCATCACGATTTCTTCCTGGCTTCTCAACACCCGTCCGCGAGCCCGGCATTAAGACGATTAGCCGCCAAGTATGCTATGCCGGCCCGGATGTGGAGGCACGGGATTCACAGCTTCCTTGAACTGCTAAGACATCGTCTCCCAGGGAGCCTCGAGCACATGCTCACTTTCATTTACCTGGCATACTCGATGATGGCATTGTTGTACGAAACTGTGCCTGCTTTTGAAGAGACATGGATTGAGTGTCTCGGGGATCTGAGCCGTTATCGGATGGCCATTGAGGAGGGCAACCTTCGTGACCGAGAGATATGGACTGGTGTGAGCCGGGATTGGTACTCGAAAGCTTCCGACAAGTCTCCCACTACTGGGCGTCTTTACCACCATCTCGCCATTCTTTCCCGGCCCAACGCGGTGCAGCAACTCTACTATTACGCCAAATCTCTCTGCGTTGCAATCCCATTTAACTCGGCTCGTGACAGCATCATGACGCTTTTCGATCCTGTTTTGGGTCCCGATTCAAGTCGTCACTCAAGGCTGCATCATATCGATCTCGCATTCGTCCAGACCCATGGCGTCATGTTCAGTGGCAAGTCTCAGGACAAGCTGGAGGATTATATGGAAAATTTCTTGAAACCCCTTGGTAATCACATTCAAGTTTCAGGATATCAGTGGCGAGAGCCTGGGTATGTGTGACTGTGCATCTTTTTCTCTTTCTTTCAAAGTCTCTAGTCCTAACGTCAAACAGATACCACATTGCTATTGCAAACTGCTGTGCCATCATTGGTTGGGGTAATGAAAAGAACCCAGTTTATCGAGCCATAAAAGCAAAAGCAAGCGTCGATAATGAGTCGCGTGACCAAACCATGACTGGCATCGAGGGGGCGGAACCAGATCTACAACTCGTAACAGCTCTGAGATTGGCCAACAGGACTCATGATGTCGTCTTGAGACAACAGGACGACCTAAATGTGGTACCATATCTCCATGCCACTCTTGCCTTTGTCTACCATCTGATCTCTCTGCCGGAGGCCATGGTTTACTTTGCACCGGAGTTTCCCTGGCGACTGGTGTGTTACCAGCTGAACTCCTTGCTTCGCGATTATTCCGCTTATGACCGGTTTGAGAGCGATTCGTTTCCCAGACCGGAGAATGAAGAGGTTCCCCGTCCCCTGCCCGAGGACTTTGCCATGCGCGGCCTTCTGTGGGTTGAGAAATTTTTTCCCAGCGACTGGTTCTCGGAAGACAAGATCATCGACGACGAGAAGTATTTCGAATCGGCTTCCCTCTTCGATGAAAGAATCACACGGGTTCTGTACTTGGGCTATCGGATTGCCATGGAAGGAGAGGGCAAATGGCTTCAATACGACCCGAAGACTCATCGGTTCGGGGTGCACTCGCAGTATGAGCTGGAGTCTCAGAGAGGAGGCAATGACTACGGTGAACTGCCTGATGCGGCCGCCCACCCTTGATCAGACGCGAGCGTGGGTGCACTACGGGTACCAAGTGCATCCAAATCATCCATATATACGTTACATATCATTTTGCGACCGTCAGGAACTCTGGGAGACAGGTGAGCCGCCAGGGTTTCCTCTCTTTTTTTCTTTCTTTTTTTTTTTTTGGTTTGCTTCAGACGTTCTCTCTCATTTTAGCGTACAGATAGACTGGGTAATTTGCTCTTTGATATCTCTTTTTTACATGTACATCAGCAATCGAGGTATTCAAGCGTGTACGGTTCTGGGTTTCACTTGGTGAAGTCCAGAGGAAATCGTGTTCAAGGTGCCATTTTGGCCTTTGAGTGTAAATGTGTAGCATTGTAATTGTGAAAGAGATCAGTAATACTAGTCAAGAGATTTGTACGAGTTTTGAGTAAGCAAATCACGCTGCGTCGATGAACTTCCAGGTAACAAGCGTTATCAGGAGGAGAGAACGTGAACATTGGAACAAGTGTAAATGTTCGATACGTAAGGCTATAAGCGAGGCAGCACATGTTATTGAGCAAGGCGACAATGACGGAACGAAAGTAAACCCCCAAGACGACGACGGGAACACACGTTTGATTTCCATTGGTGTTAATTCTCCGTAGAATAAAGACAGAGTACACAACCTTCCGGGGCTTGGACAGTTACTTCAGCTCAGGGGTTTGTTTACTTTACTCTACATCTGGTATCCAGCGCCACAGGGTGACACTGGGTGCTGTTTTTGACCCCATGTGTAATCCAGACCCCTGAAAACGGGCCCCCAGCAAGTGCTCAAGAACTTCAATTTTTCTTTCATCCAACTAGGCTCCTAGGTAGCAATTTCCGCATCTAGGCATCCCGGCCGATTGCCTTACGGCACTATCCCTCGCTACGCGGAAATTAATACCCTAGGGAGATATTCCGATGCTTCCGGCGGCCGAAAGACCTCAAAACATCATGAGGAAATTGAACATGATGAACGACTGGTCTGTGCCATCGTTGGTAAGGCAAACACCAACTAAAGGGAGCAAGGGCAAAAATGACGATCCAGACGCCTCATACTATCCCAGGAACTCGGTACTGGCACCAATCTTGAATATGGGCACTGATACGCCGCAGCCACGATCCTCCCTTGGGTAGGACCTGCCAATCTAGTAAGATGTAGGCATGTAACTCCACTCTAGGCAACAGGAATGCGGCACTGTTGATACTGAAGACTCAGATTCTTGAAAAGACTCGACGACTCACCCTGGACACTTCACTCCGGAGCCACGGTAATGCTCGCCAACAGCCTCCAAATCCGACACAAGGATCGTAAAGACTCGTGAGCTAAGTAAGTGTAAGATCATCTTCCAAGCTTCCAAGTACTACACGTTAATTGTTTTTATCTCAGATTTACACAATCTTACTGTCCAGCCCCCACCCCCCTCCTTGTCCAAAAAGAAGAAGGAAAAAAAAAACTAAAATTTAAATAAATGAAGAGAAAAAGAAAAGAAAAGAAAAATAAAGCGACCACGCTAAGAAAAAGATAGTCCAGGGAGGGGCTCAGATGTTCTCGGCCAAAGCTGATGATTACCACCGAGTAAGGTTTACGTTTGGGAATTTGAAGCGAGTTTCCGGATTGTACGCCGCCCCGCGAATGTTTGAGTGAATGAGTGTGTGAACGATTGAGTGGACACTCTATCGAAGCGGCGTTGACGATGTGATGATGGAAGTCCTCTCACCGAAAATTCGGAGGTGGAAACATGTATCCATATGCAGTAGCACTTTTCAAGCTCCCCAATCATTTGACTAAACATTGACCTTGATCTCACCAGCCACGGACCTTGCCATCGGCGTTGAGACCGGCATATTCGTAACTGTCCAGTGTCCTTGTGTCCGCGCTTACATCATCTATGTTGGTGGCCTTGTCAGTCCTCCGCGGCCACTGGACGTCATGTAGGTCCATGTTCACGAATGAAGTCTCCGAGGACTATGATCATGATAATGTCGTTCCAGCAGAGGTGTGCAGCCACCAATCGTGTAACTACTTGTAACTTGCGTCTATTTTGCGGCTCAACAAATTTGCATCTAGGTACGTTCCTGGTGCCAATCTTGGTTTGTCACACCCCTTTAGTCTTTTGAGTGGTTTCCCCAAAACAGAAAATCTCCCAAATGTCCACCGGATCTGTGTTTTTCACGGCGCTGCCGCTGCCGTGCCACGGTACATGGTGTGATCCGTCGCCCAGCGCCCGCCTGTCCCGCCCCCCGTTCGAATCGACAATTACAAGGTCACAGATTCGTGTGCCGCGCCTCTTCGTCTTATGATTGACTAAAGTCTGACCTGACAATCGTGCGGTTCGGCCTCCTGTTCTCATGCCGGTTCTTGGTCAAGCAGTTTATGGCAAATCGGCAATGTAGTCCCAGTGTACGTTGTGTAGCATACAACATCAAAAAAAGGCTTTTAAGGTGGCTCGGGCTGAGGATGCCTTATATGTCAGATGTTAATAATCATATGCCGTTGAGGTAACGAGTCTCCAAAGCTTAGCAAGGATGACCTGTGGAAGCCTGCCCATAAGGCTGGCGCGTCTGAAATTCGAAACCTATCAGACTATGGATATGCCGCATTGCCTTGTCAAGGTCGAGACTAAGCAAGTTTCATGACATTTCGGTTGATGAGGTAGCATCGGACAAGACGTTGTCTAAGTCGTGTCGGAATTGTCGCTGTCTAGAACTTGGAAGGATGGCATGTTCTGACTGCCACCAATGGGATATCAAGCTACTTGGGTACTCACCAGTAGGCGGATTGGATCACGACGCATCGTCAGAACCATGGTATGTATGGCAGTTCCATATTTTCTGGAATGGCAGTCGTTTCGCGAAGGAAGCCTTGGCGCTTCGAAAGAATCTTCAAAATATGTACGACGCGAGTCCAACCGAGCGCAACGTAGTTGCCTTGTTGTAACGGTGTGTAACCTTTCTCCCACAACCTGAGAACTAACCGAATACGTTTGATCATGCATACTTTCCGTCCGATCAGTGTTACCTCCCCCTACTTCCCGTGAATTGGGGGCGGAAACGATTAATCGATACTGCTTTGGAAGTCCAACGAAATGTTCTGAATCCTCTCGCCCCCCCGCCCGGATCCAATGTCCTGCCAGGCCGAACTCCATCTTCGTAGCTACGGCTTCGGAGACAACGGACCCCCCCTCCCGGGGGCATTCCAAGGTCCCGTCTATATTCCGGCAGTTTACTAGTGCATATTGCTACATCTGAAATAACGCTGGTAATGCATGTTTTCCTTGCGTATTCACTGCAGAGATTTGCTCGAGATATTATCAAAAGAGAGATAAAGATACTTGGCCTACCAATTTTACCCCTCATCGGTATTAACCTCCCCCCTCTATGAAGCTCAGGCGAAAGCCCTTATCCTGACCGAAAGTGCTGCATGGCTTCAAGTTAGCTCAGCTATAGCTAGTATTGCTGCAATATTCAGCTTCGGCTGAGCGGGGTCAGCAGGTGCGGGGTAAGTCGGACTCATGGTGGTGTCTTGTATCATTTTCGCTGTTTCGGCTGAAGAAGTCGGGGAATTTGAAGAAACCAACTACCTCTAGGCGTCCATAGTAGTGATTCGATATGATCATTCTTGTGTCAGCGGCTTAAGTGGTTGCCTACTTCGTGCCTTGTCAAGTCGTAGTGGCTGCGCTTTTCTTTATCCGATCATCGATTGACTACCTCTAGGGATGACTATTATCCGAAAAATGTGTGCAATTCATCAGGCTTTCAGATTCTTGTCTCACCTCACCGAAGTTGCCTTCTTCAAACGTAGATGCGATAACGACCTGGAGAAAAGCCGTCCGCTGACCGGTTTTGGGTTTGTCGAGTTGCGGTGGCAATGAGTGAAGATTGATTGTTGATTGGAAACAAAATGCCTCAAGACCCGCACATCACTTACCTGCCAGACCATCGTACATGATACCGAATCATCAACTGCAAAACCTATCATAATGACGTTTGGACATTACCTACAGGCAAAACCAGGAGAGCCTGCTCCAAAGACAGCTTGAATAGGGAGTGACCTTTAGTGAGATGGAAACGGCACCGATTTCGCGACCTAATGTTGAACCTCACACCATAACCTACCAGGCAATGTGTATCTTTCGTCCATGGATGATGAAGAAAGAAGTATGCTTATGATGGTGTATGTTACGGGCTGGTGTCATCTCGGTTCTAGAATTACTAGCGTTACCCCCATATGGCGGAAAAAGCCAATCGCAACTCGAAAATCAACCACGTGTGTCTCTGTTCATGCCTTTTGAATCTCGCAGCTTGGTGGTAAACTCAAACGCCACTTTAGAAACCTTTGACCCTCGGTTCATTGGTAACAAAAGGACTGAACAATGCATCACTTTTCGTCATTCCGTCCCAAGCGTCGCTTCCGGCGTTTAGCGCTGCCAAAGGGGTCCCCACAGCGGGCCGGTCCGCTGTCGGGTCGCCTAAGCGAGTGCCCTGGTTCATGCCAGGGGTCATTCAAACAGTGGTGGGGCCTCAAAGTCAGACACAGTTTCAGGCTAGTGTCCAATGAAGCGCTGTTCACTAGGTTGTTTTCCGTCAACAAACAAGACGGAACTCGGATAGATCTCCATGCCAATCTCAGATTACCGTGCAGATATATGCTAAGTTTCTGTCAGTCTCCGCCGTACATGCAGCAGCGGCCCGTCGTGTTCTGATATTCGCATCAAATCTTATACGAGATCGGCGCCGGCAAGCTAGGTATGTGATGAAGGTCTCGGATTTCCTGGTCGGAGATAGATTGTTCCACTTATTCCTCTCCCCATCTCATGTGTAGGACTTTCTTGTTCTCTCCAGTCTTCAAAAGGGTTCGACCCTCTTGGGTCATCGAGCATCATTCAGAGAGCTATTCAGGACATAACTGATATTTGAGTGGTATGAATTTACACGAAATTGTGAATGTATTCAGGCAAAGTAAGTCCGTAACAAGACTCATCTGGGACGTCAAGACCTCCATGGAATAAGCAGTGTATCAAACATAACACCCCAAAACAGTAACTTAACTATCTAATCGCGGAAGTGGCCAAGGTCCTTGCAGGTAAGAAAAGTGCTTTCAGATGCAACGCGCTCTCAGCCTAGCAGACAGGAGGTGTACGTGACAGTAATGTAGGTATGCACATCCCACCTGACTTGTCCTTGTAGTGTAATCCGAACGAGTTTTTATTTTTCTTGCTACGTCATAGAGCCACACACCTCACACCGAAACAGGTCCCTGGCGCAGAACCCCTCCAGATTTCAGGCACGTGCGTTCAAGACTGGCCAGAAGTGCTGAAGTACCAGACCCCCCTCCCCCCCATCAGTTGGTCAAGTGAATCTTTCTACACGCCAACTACACGCCACGCTACCTACATTCTACTTGTTGAAAGGACATGCATTCCATCGGCACCAAAGGCATGTCAGCCTCGGGCCACACCATCTCGCCCGGAAAAGATCTTTGGATGACTGTCGGTCGTGAACAAGGCTCAATTCATCTTCTTTGCTACACTCAGCATTTTATTGCCCTCGCACAACTCTCTAGGTGGCTCGGACACCAGACGCTAGACGGTGTTACTCCCTCTTACAGCAGAGAACTATCAGTCCAAGAAACGATCAGTTGAAAAGCCGAGCTCATACACATTGACATTTGACATACCAAGTCCACCCAGAACTACTGACTCCTATGCCTTTCTATAACCAGTCCCGTCAATCTCGCGCAGTGACTATTGTTACCATGCATACCATCTGCTAACATCTTTTGGGTCAGTCGAGCGCATCTCGAATTCATAGCCATCCTCGACAATAACACGTCATACCAAGTAGAACTGTATGTACCAGTTCAGCGTCGCGGATTTCCGAAAGCGGCATTCCGAGAATATCGACTTCCTTGACAGTCGATGCTCTTCTATTCGATGTGATTACCCGCAATTGCAACGAAATGCAATCCCAGCAAGGTCATAATTGGCTGAGCTGCTCGATAAGGCATCCAGATGTCAAGGGCCGTCAGGCTCATGTTTTAAGAAGGCAACTGCACGATTCTAGCCTTATCCAACCCGATCATATTTCGCCTACAAGACGTTGTTTACTCGGACACCAATTACCCCGGTTATGACAACGGAAACCACCTTGTCGCTTGACTACATATCAGGCATAATCGCAAGTTCAGGTGGGCGACGCCCATTTGCGACCCAGTCACTTGAAACTCCTGTTCATGCCTAGTCGACAGATGGATCCCTGAAATGACTGCGTTACCCTTACGAAGCGAGTGTTCGATTCAAATAAGAGCTCACTACCAGCCCCAGCTTCACGTTAAGTGATACATGTACTGCAGGTCTTCGGAATGCTAGGGAAATAAGGCTTGCCAGAACGCTTGGTATGGTTGAGGCAAACGACGTCAGATCTTTGAGCGCGCACTTGTTACAAGGGTCATCGGGTCTGTGGTACACTTTCATTTCCAGTTATATGGGTACCCTAACCGGCAAAGCACGCATTTATTGCCGGCCATGATCTACATGCCTAACCTGACGGCATGGCACATACACAAATAGACCCAAACCTCCCAGTAGATGCCTTTCATGACATACCCAAAAGTTGCTAACAACGGCTTGTTAAAATCTTATCTTCTAGCTTGAAAGGCAAGTCATCCGCAGTATATCAACGGAACTTTTTGATAGGTCTACAACTTCTTTGCTGACATCCTTATAGCTTCAATGCCCAAGACGGGAAGTCTGTCTGAGGATATAGTATAGTAGGACACGAAATTCTCGATCATTTCGGGCATCTCGGATACTGAGAATTGTATGCAAGGAAGGGTGCAGCTGCAGCCACCCTTGAGAGAAATTGTTGATAGTTGAACAAGGCCCGTGAGAAACATACACAGAGTGGCACCAAAACTATGACCTGATGTAGGGCAACACAAAG